AGGTGAATTTATTCATGAAAATATATCAAACAAACTCACACTGAGAGACATTCAACAAAATAATTGGCCTAAATTCTTGAAATATCAAGTCATGAAAAATAAGCAAAATTAAAGAGCTCTTCCAGATTAAAGGAGACTAAAGAGACAGAACAACCAAATCCAATGCATAATTCAGAATATTATTTTGCTGTAAATGACATTCTTGGCACCACTGGCAAGATGTGAATAAGATCTACAGATTAGGTAATAGTGTCAGACCAGTTAAATTTTAATAATTGTACTATAGTTATGCTAAGAGAATGTCCTTGATTTTAGGAAATGTACACTAAAGTATTTAGGGGATATGGGCACCATGACTGCTACTGGCTCTCAATCCAAAAATAAAAGGTTTATGTATAATGTGTGTATTATATACAAATACATATACATAGAGAGAAAAACAGCAACTGACAGCAAGAGTTAGAGATGGGAGAGAGAAAAGAAAATGATTAAAGAATAAAACAAATATGGAAAAACATTAATATATGGGGAATTCAGCAAAAGGTATATATACCGGGGGTTCCAAAAAAGATGTATACAAGTGGACACTTTAGTCAGCGTTGCTCAAGCAGTAGTATGCCGTCATCACAAGTGTCTGGACGCTGATGGTAACCACTTTGAGCACCTCTTGTAATTGGAGAAGTCAAAAGTGACTTGTATTCATCTTTTGTTAATGGTATATATTTAGTATTACAATTTTAATACAGTTTTTCCCTTCTTAAAATGTGTATACATTTTTTGACACCCTCTGTATGCAATAATTCTTTGTACTATTACATTTTTCTGTAAGCCTGAAATTATGTTAAAAAGCTTAAAGGAAAATCTTATGCAATACACAAAATGAGACATTTCATAAAAATCAAAGATGAGAAATTATTCAACCACTTAAAATAGTAAAACACCGGTTTTTGCTACATAATTAGCATTAAAAACATAAATGGCAGTACTCAGTAGTAGTGAGATTCTGGAGGACTTGGTATTTTCATACGTCATTGTTTAAGTGACAAGTGGTCCAAACCATTTGAGAAAAACAGCTTGGCAATATGGATAGGGACAAAAAAGTAGATTCTAGTGATTTTACCACTGGGACTCTATCCTAAGGAAATAAACACTAAATACTGAAAAGTCATTATACACAAGGTAAATACATGGCCTTATTTAAAATAATGCAAATTGGGAAGAACCTAAATAGGACACGTAAGAGTTTAAGAAAACACAATCACAGGAATTACTCAGTCACTAAAATAAATACTCTATAAAAACTAAGTAAACATGGAGAAGTGCTTACAACAGACGTCATAATATGTTAAAGTAAAATTATATGAACAAAATAATTATAAACTTTGGTTTCTAAAATATCTATGCACAGGAAAAGAAGACAAAGAAAATTCATAACACATTATAGCATCTGTAGGGTGACGGTGTAGATGAGCAAGATTTTTCCAATTTCCTTTAAATTGTCAGTAACTTTATTACTTTAATACTGAGGAATATATAATTAACAAAAGAATAATCTTAGTTACTACTTTCACATTAATCCTTTGTGTTTATAAAGAGCATCTGGAAACACTTCAGAGAGAGAAATATGGGAGAAAAGATAATGATAAAGTAACTCATACCAATACCTTTATTTGGTTTTTGTTTTTTTAAAGATTTTTTTATTGGGGAATTGGGGGAGGGGAACGGTATTGAGAAATTGGGGAAGGGGAACAGCCAAGTTGTTGTCCTTCAATCTTAGTTGTGGAGAGTGCAGCTAGCTCAGCTCCAAGTCCAGTCGCCATCTGGCCGGCCGCGGGCAGCTCGCAGCCACTCAGCTCAAGGTGCTGTGTTTAATCTTAGTTGCATGTGGGTGTAGCCACCATCTCATGCGGGAATAGAACCAGCGGCCTCATTGTTACGAGCTGAAGCTCTATCCACTGAGCCATCCAGGCGGCAGCTCAGCTCAAGGTGCTGAACTCAGTCTTAGTTATGAGTGGGCATAGCCACCATCCCATGTGGGAGATGAACTGCCAGCCTTGTTGTTAAGAATGCGCGGTCTATCCCCTAGCCACCTGGGCGGCAGCTCAGCTCAAGGTGCCAAGTTCAGTCTTTAGTTGCGGGTGGGCTATGCCCACCATCCCATGTGGGAGTTGAACAAGCAACCTTGTTAGGAGCATGTGCTCTCACCAGCTGAGCCATCCTGCCACCTGTTGGCAACTCACTGGCAGCTCAGCTCAGGCACAGCGTCACTGGCCCATGTGGGAATCGAACCAGCAACCCTGTTGCTCAGAGCTCGCACTCTTAAGCAAGCTCTTAACCAACTAAGCCATTCAGCCGGCCCCTCTTTATTTGGTTTTAAATGTATTTAGCAATACATATGTGCATAAGGAGGCTGTTCAAGTCCAAGGGGGAAGGTTACAAAAGATACATGAAAACATTCCTATCTAAAGCATGAGGGTCCTTACATCCTTTCTAAAAGAACAAGTACATCCTGTACAAATGAGAGGGCTGTGACAAAAAATTTTAAAGTTCAAGAACCTTTCACAGTAATGAGGTATAATAATGGACAAGGGATGTCTTGCAAGCTTCTCTCTTGACCAATACTCACTGAAGTCTCATTCGCTTTTCAGGCGGGCCTTTAGTGCTCACTGTCTGTGGGATGTTCTTTGTGGTCTCCTTCTCCTCAGATTTTACAGCTTCTGGTACAGGTTCTGCCTCTTTCTTTGTCTGATCCACTACACATCAAAAGAGGGTATTTTTTAGGGGTGGAGATCAATGCAGAGATGAGATCAATTTAGTTAACAATGTGAATGATTCAGACTCTCAAATTCCTTTACAGCTGCTTATCTCAAGTTCTAAATGTAGCTGTTTCACCAGGCAGATGTATAACAACCCATTTACCCAAGCAAATTTTTTATACTATTCAAAAACACATGATACTGAAATAAGACACTATACATAAACAAAATACCAGGGGTGCCAAAAAAAGTACACACATTTTAAGAGATGTTATCTACATATTACTTTTCGAAGTTGAATTACAGTAGCAATGTGTAGTATGATGTTCACTCAAAAGATGGCATTAATCAAATGAATGCTAGCATCACCATGCGACAGACAGGACAGTCAAAGAAAATGGCGGAAGCACAGTTGTCGTTTGAGGAGCATAAGACCATATTGAAGTGGTATTTGAAATTCGAGAACGTTCTGCAAGTACAATGACAATGCAGGCGTAAATATGCAACAGAACCTCCAACACGCCTAACAATTGCACACATTCATGATAAGTTTGAGATGCATGGTACTGTGTAACGAAATTGAAACAGTATACAAAGCAATACAGGTGGACATTTTGATCAACGTTGCTCAAGCAGTAGTTCACCATAATCAGAAGAGTCTAGATGCAGATAGTAACTACTTTGAGGACCTCTTGTAATTGCAGAAGACAAAAGTGACTTGTATTCATCTTTTGTTATTGGTATATATTGACTATTAGAACTTTAATACAGTTTTTCCTTTCTTAAAATGTGTATACATTTTTTTGGCACTCTCTGTATTTAATTATTCCATCCCAGTTCAATGGATAGTTCAATACCTCTTTTCAGTGGTGAAACAGAAGGCCTTTTTCTATGTTGAGATTTGAACTAAAACCAACCTCAAATCACCTTGGTTTTTCCACGCCTCCTGAATACCTACTCTTCCCACTCCAGTTCATCTTTTAAATACTAATACCACTACCACAAAAGCACCATCTTTGGGCAATTCAGCAAATCTCAAAGGCTAGGAGTAACAAACTACAATGAATCTAGAAGGACAAAATGACCATAGCTCATCTCACATGCTATAGTTGCTACTGATTTAAACAGGCTATTTTGGTCTCATTTCAAGTTTAACAAGTATCATCAAATGAACCATACCTGGGACAGGCTTTTCTCCAGATTTCTGCTGTAATTAAAAAAAGAAAAGGGAAGGGGGAGAAGTAGAGGAAAAACAGGACAGGTTAGCAAAGTTTTCTTCTTCATTTCATAATTCTTTATTAAAATTACACCTTCATTCAAATTATATTATAAATGACTTCATGAAGAGGAATCATGTACCATAAAAAGTAAATTTATTGTTTTCTCCTTCTTAGTGACTCGTTCCAGAAAAGACAAATCTAAAGGTAGAACACAAGAGTCAAACATAAATAACCCTTGAACACCTACAAAGCCCTTGGCTTCTGTACCCAGGCTACAATGATTTACAAAAAGCAGCTAATGGAAGTCCATTGGAAAGGGGAAATGGAGCCTTTCAAGACTTCAGAGGCTTATTTCCTTTTGGGATATGAGCTATAAAAAAGTAGAATGAAGTTTGGAGGAACCCTCTGACTTAATGTTGGCAGGTATGGGAAATGAACAGGAAAAACAGGTAGTTTTCTATGAACATAAGACTTCCAATGAGTGTACTATTAAAAATCAAACTGCGGTTACAAAATAGTCATGGGGAAGTAAAGTACGGCATAGGAAATATAGTCAATAACATGGTAGTAACTATGTACAGTGCCAGGGAGGTACTACACTTATCAGGGGAATCACTTCATAGATTATATAAATGCCTCTCTGAGTATGTGAGAAACTGAGAGGGGGTATTCTTAGATTGCTAGCACTGAACCATTTCCACTGTATTGAACACTGAACTATATCTGGACATTGCAATCATGTCATGATCTGCCCAATGCACACTGTCTAATCTTTCCTCGTGAATACTGAGAGACAAACAAGTCGGATGTGGCTTGAGATGAGAAATAGAATGGGGGTGCCTTTCTAACAAAATTTAATCAAGTGACCTTGGGAAAAACCTAGCTGAAGTCACATCCTCTGGTGCTCTAGGAGCTTCTGAAAACAGCACTGAAAAGACATTCATCATCAAAGGCTCCGAGGGCCTGAGCTCCCATCACATCATCAGTAGTAGTATAACTTTCAGTAGTAACAACAATTAAAATATGGACAAAGGAGCATCAAAGCACGAAGAACTTTTCTAATATTCTCCTGAATATCCCTCCTTTGGAGCAACATCCCCAGGACCCAGAAGCTTAACTGTTAAATACAGTGGGTAAGTCAGAGTAAGTCCTGAGCTACAAATGGTTCTGGGAGATAAAATGGGTAAACAGGAGTTCACAGGAGACTTCAAGTAGACCAACAATCTATTTTCTAGATCTGAGGAGAAATGTTTTGGGTAAAAAGGAGCAAAGGGATCTTTCTAGTTCAGTAACAGAATCGGACACACTCCCTTTGTGGAAGTTGGCTCTTGGTCCTTGGATGGCTAAAAGAAAGGCAGGGTTCTAGAAAATGAAACTTTAAGTGTGCCTTATGGCTAAGCCTTTAAAAGAAAAATTTTAAAAACTCATTGAAATGATATAAAGTGTGCAACCTGCTTCAAAATAATTGGGAGGAAGTGGGGGAAGAAATAAAACAAGAGTGGGTATGTTTGATAATTGTTTCATTATTATTCTCTCTACTTTTATATATTTTAAATTTCCATAACTTTCTATAAGGTGAAGTGTTTTTGTTTTTTGTTGTTTTAAGATTCAAGAGTCTTTGAGCTTTTTACATTGTCCAGCTTAGCTCTCCAGGATAGGACAGCATATGGGATTCCAGACAGGATCCCTAGCCAGAAAAAAAGGACCACTCAGAATCCAACACAGCAGCAAGCTACTGAATGTTCGGGAGGTTGGTCAGTGAAAACAGAACTCCTAACAACTCTAGTTAAGCCAAAATCTGTTTCTTTTCCTATATTCTGAATTTTGGTTAATCATCAACACCAAGTCTAGTTCTAGGCCTCAAGCCTTAGAATCATCCTTAATGCCAATCTCTCCAAAGCCAACCATCAAATTTAGGCAATCCTGAATCTCACAAACATTTCTTGAATCTCTTTTCTTTATGGCCACAGAATTAATTCAGGCTTTCCAAAATCTAACTTCCCCAACTCCAAACATTTTCCTAAGCATCCTCTACATTGTTATTGGTTATCTTCCAAAAACACAAAACTAACATTTCTTGTAACTGTTTTTAAACATTTACTGGGTCCCTACTGCCATCATCTATAATTCTCAGCTAGTCAGTGCTGAGGGTCTAGAAGATGAGATAGAGGATATTTCACTATTTTGTAAAATACTTGTATATTTATATAAAAATTACCACTGCTTTGGTTTGTCTTTAGTGATAGTTCTTGTTTTAATACTTCAAATAACTTTTAGTGCAGCTAGAAGCCTGCTGTGTTTATGAGACTGCTAATGGGTTGTGGTTTAAAGCAGCAAATAAACACTGGACTACAGGATTAACCACAAACTCCTTTACAGAGCATACATAATCCTTGTCAATCTGACCTTAATCCATCTTTTAAGTCTCACATTCCATTGCTCTTTGTCTCCAGAAACACAGAGAGTAAATCTTCACAGCATTTTCTGGTTTCTTTCTTTTTTTTTCATAGGTAAACTGAGGTATAACTGATATACAAAAAGTGCACATATTTAATGCATTCAATTTGATGAGTTTGGATATATACATACACCTGTGATATCACCACCATAATCAAGGTAATATATAAGGTCGGACAGTTAAGTTCACAAACTCATCCTAGAAAAAGTGCTACATACCTCACTACTGAATATCACTATAGTCACCTTCGAAGTACTCCCCTTGGGAAGCTATGCACCGATGC